CAGTATTATCTCTTATTAAGGCTGTTGGCTTCGCCATTTGAGCCAAGTCCATTAGTTTAATAATCCACTCTCCCACTGTAGGTATTTGTAAAAAAACCCACATAGATCTTAGCTTATTCAATGGTCCTAGTTTTATTCTAAAATAACTAAGCTGATATAGGGACTCAAGAAAAGAAAAAAGTACAGTTTTTGGAGTACTTGTCTACAATTCTTAATCTTTTTCCCAAATCATGCACAATTTCTCAACTTTCAAATAAAAATCACAAAGCCTATTATAGAATCACCCTGTTGCCCAGATTAAGACCACTTCTGATGAGGCTTCAAACCTTTGCTAACAGAACCATAAACCAGGGCAATACTCTTAGACCCAGGTGCTGCTGTATAAAAGAAACTATGATCAATGATCATCAGAATTGGCTATGCAGTATATTGTGAAGAAACTGGTCAGAAATGGAGTCCATCTCCTGAGCCATAACTTTTAAGTTAACAATAATGTGCAATCTGTCCTCAGCAAGTGTTCATGTTACCTCACTTGATCAATTTTACTACCACTGGAACTGCTGTTCAAAGAAAATATTGATGTCTCAGAACAGAAATAGAAATGGAGATTTAATGAAGTGATTATGAAACTCCACCTATGTAGAGGCAGATTTATGAACAAATTCATGACCACAGACAGGCAGCTTTCTAGGACCTCCCTTAATGTCTTTTTTTCGGGGGGGGGGGGGGGGGAGGCAAAAAATAAGCAAACAAGGAGGGACCAATGTCATGCCTGTGGACTGGGGCTTGGGTTTTCAGATTTTAAAGGGGGCGAAGAAATGGATGCTCTTTAAAAAAAAAAAAAACTATCAATTTCAGGGTATACATTGCCCCTTTTTGGTGTTTCAAGCCTCAAAATAATGAAAGATAGCTCCTCTCATTTTCAGCAATGATACCACTGAAATTTGGAAGGATTCAGGAGCAATTTGGAGTCTTGGGACAGCAGGCTGCCCACTCTTACAGGATTCAACTTTTCCTGGTCAAGCAGCCAATAACTGCTACTGTTAAATATTATGAAAAATCTAGTAGGATTAAATAGGTGTAGAGCGTATTCTAGTCACAAAAGTCAATAAATGCAAAATATGCCCTCATCCCACAACAGATTAAAACATATTTTACCTGCATGCTTCCAGCTCCTGGGCTGGGGAGGTCATCATCTGGTTTTATCTTGGAACGCTTGTTATGCATTGGGTCCCCTGTGCTGCTCACTGCAGACTCACTTGTGGGTTTACTCTGCTGCACATATTTATACCCAAAAGATACAAGTAGCCTTTGAGTTAAAACACAATACATGCAGAATGTTCAAAGAAACTTTACTGAAGTTCACTGTCTGAGTTCAGATTTCTATGATTGAGCGGAATCCCGTTTATGTTCTTGATTTCTCTTCCATTTTCAGAATTGTAATTTCTCATTAATGCTTTTACTTAGGGAGAAAAAAAAGTCCTGATTGAATGTTATATAATAAGACCAACCCAACACAAGGGCAAAAGATAAACTGTTTATCTAGGAAACTTTCTTTACTACTGTACTACTTGTATATTTGCCTGGATGACATCTTTACATTTTTTATGATTCACTTAAAAAAAAATTGATATAAACTCTTTTTCATTGCCTTTTACCTGAAAAACACATTTTGCTATCTTCTACTTGAATCGGGTAGATAAACATTTCCTTAAACAAATATTAAGCAGAGTCAGTTTATTCAGTGTATGTTCTGGATTACATCATTACAATTTTAGTGCCTCCTAGTTTACTAAACTAAAACAGGATATTTGAATGAAATGCACTTTCTGCAAGGCAGCAGAATCTTACAATTTTCTCTAACACAACTTTATGCCTCCATAGAGAATAGAATATCACGTCCACTGATTTGGGAATTGTACTGGCACACACTGTGACTTTTCAAATCATCTGCTCCTTTCCTACCTATTGTAGGCCCGTGAAATTTTTGAAAGGTACTCCTGAAAGTTTGAGTATTCTCTAGTATTCAGTGTGGCATGAGGGTATAAAACCAAAAGAAACAGCTGCCTCCTAATACTATGCATATGTTCATGGACCTCTTTGGATCCCAATCTTTTGGTTCAAAAATCAGGGACAGTTTTGCCTCTTACTTTCTTCAGTAGGATATGAATTGCATCCTTTTACTGTTTGAATGTCCTTTGCCTGAACACTCTCAAACTGTAAGTTCCCAAACACTGAGTTTTGAAGTTATTTAAATATTTATAAGGGATGGAAAACACTCCATCAATTCAAAACCATGATATACTCTAGGTAATTTATAATAAAAGACTGCATACATTGCAGCCCCAAGGTACTTGTTAGCCAATCTGTTCCAAGAGCTGTGGTGATTAATCGCTATTGTGGACAAGTCAGTATGGTGCAAAAATCATTCTTTACATTCCCTTACCTGTGCAGCCTCTGAAGGACCTGAGCTGACCTGAACAGGATTCAAGACATTGGGGATGCCGGGAATAGGCCTCTGTGTAGGAAAGGTTGGAGCAGGATGGATGAGAGGAGGGCTGTGTCCAAAGGCTGAGCCCAGGCTTTGCTGTCGACTGATGATTTGTTGATGCATCTGCTGGAGGGATACTGGTGTGGGAGGGTATGTGAAACTTAGCGCTGGGCTGCATAATGACAGAGGAAAATAGAAATAAGTAAAAATAATTTAGGGAATTGAGCCTAGAGGTTCATGAATTATTAGTATTTTCAAAACAAGAACAGGTTTGCCTTAACGTCTATGGGTGTTTGAGTCTGAAAGCATCACTCTCTAGAGATGCCATGATGCACATTTTAAATCATGTACCAGCTTCATATGGAAGGTTATCATTGTGAGGAACTGAAGCTAAAACTAGCTCATCTTTCAGATCTATGACTGTTAGATCTTGATCTGATATCATAGCTAAGCAGCAATTTAGTCCTATATTGTGGGTGCAGACAGTAAGCAAACTGATTAAATAAACTCCTCAAAGCTGGAGAGTTCTAAAAGTGTTAACCTGGTTTTTTTTTTTTAAATTACTGTAATCCACTTTTATCTGAGATGCTTCAAACTCACTCATCCCTTTCTTTTGGACACACAACATATATTCTATTATTCATACTTCCCACATACAGGACCTTCTGTATACCTGTCATGCTTTATTTCCTCAGTTGGAAAAAAAATGACACTTGGTAACTCTTTCTATTCTGAATAATTAACATATCAAATTCATATTCCCCTAAAGCATCTAAATGAAAAGAGAATTCCTTATGCATGTGTTGTGTGTGTGTGTGTGTGTGTGTCCATGTGTGTTTGCTTTCTAAATAACATATTTTGAACTCTTCTGTATAGCTAGGTGTAGGGGGCAGCATCTAGCTGATCTTGAAAAGTTAATGACAGTTGCCCCTAATTAGCATTAGTTGGAAGTAAGCAGGCTAGCATTTGGATTGGAGATAACCAGAAAATCACAGGGCTGTAGGCTATTCTGAAAAAGGCCAACAGGAAGCCTCTTCCATATAGTCAAATAAACCACGTGGACATATACAGAAAGTCACAGAAATTTTACCTTTACATTTGAATTCATCTGAAAGATTATCAATGGTATATAACCTCCCACGCCGCCCCCCCACACACTAATCAGTTGTGCCCCAAAACATTTCTATTCACCTACAGAAAAAAAGGAAATACCTTTTCCACGCGTTATTTTCCTCTCCCCCATTTTCCTTTTTCTTCTAAAATATAAAAATTCCCTTGAGTTTAATTTACCCCATGTTGACTTTAAGGACTCTTCCCTGTAGTTAAGATTTCCCTACCTGCCCACATCCCGAATTGGCAATTAATTATGATCAGGGAAGAAATAAAATCGTGGATATATAAATTGTCAGGAAGAGTAGTGTGCAAAATTTGAAGTGGTGCAAGTCTGAAATTCCCCATTTTGGCTTCTAGCCACTACAATTTTACCAGAAGTCTTCCAAATTTGAAGCCGGAATGTTTGTCCTCAGAACACCTCTGGTATTGTTGGAACAGCATTGGACTACTTTAGGTAATGTTGTAACAATCTGTGTCAAATTCAAAGTAATTTGAATGCCCCTTTCATAAATTAAAGGATAGGAATCAAGTGAAAACCGACAAAAAACAGCTGCTGCAGGAGTTAAATGATGTTAATTATGCAGGATTTACTTCCAGGACATTTTAGCTGAAGAAGAGTACCAAGGTCTAAGAGAGGATATAACAACTGGTGAACCATAATATTATACGCAATTCTTACTATTGTTTTACTTGAAATACATTGGAGTCAATTTCTATACATTCAGTTGAGTGTCAGTACATTGTAATGGTTAGGACATCAGAGCAGAACAGGGGAAACTGAATTGCAGTCGCAGTCAACAATGAAATTTTCTGGATGACCTCTCCATCTTTTGCCTGACAGGGTTGTTGTGCCTATAGGAGAAGACAGTTTCATAAACATAAGTGGTCCCCAAACCATTTTAAGGATGGGCTTATTTAAGCATAATGTAATGCTTTTTAAGTTACTCAGAACAATTTCTTCTTTTCAACTCATCTAACTAAATCAGGTGAACAGGAGGAAGAAAAATAGTCCCATACAATTTTATTAATGACCAGTTTCTTTGACAGAGGTTAATTAACACACACACACACGTGTATGTGTGTATGAGTGTGCAGTGGTTGATAATGTATTTTAATAGCTCAAAGAGAGTAGTTACACTTATTCTGTCCTATGGTTACTGAAAGCATATGTGTGAAATCATTGTATTTCATGATGAATGGCTTGTACACTGAAGAATAAATTGAACAAACTGGCAAAGAGCTCACTGAACATGAAATCAGCTATTAGAAGAAAGCTTGTGAACAAATTCTGAAGCTGATATGCATCTTTTGATTAACGTCCTATCAATCATCCACAGAGGCTACCTTAGCTAAGTTGTGCTGTAATCATTCATGGTTGCTCACAGAGAGCACCAGCAAGGACTAAAGGGTTGCAATAACTGAATATTATTACCAATTTCTCTCTACCTCTTGCAGTGAACAATTACTGTGTTGGAGACATTTCTGTCCCTTTATTCAAAAAGTACAATGTCGAACTGAAAGAGATTCCCTTAAGACCTGCAAGATCACCTCAGCTTTTCTTAAATGGATAACTTTTATAATAGGGAGCTCTCTAAGAATAATAGTAACTTAATCATACTGAAAAATCCATTTTAAAAATGAAATTGTCAAAAATATAGTAAAAATCTAAAATTGTTAAATTAAAAAGTAGTTAGTTTTTTTTTACATATTTCAAAATTTTGTATTTTGTACCAGTATTTTCTGGTAACGTGCTTAACCACAGCAATAATTCCAGTGGGTGGCTTTGATTACACCTACCAAAATTATAGTGTATTTTGGTTTTGTCAAAGATGCTTCCCACATATGTTTATAGGTAATACAAAATATATATGTAGTAGGTTTTCTAAAAGTACAATTGGAGGTTTTAACTTTGAAATTAAGCTACTGGAAAAAATGTTCCATCAACAGAATATGAATTTTTTTGAGGAGCTTTAATTATAGAACATTCATTTCTATATGATATGCTCCAGTTTAATTTTGCCATAGCATTTTAGGCCAGAGTAGGCTCTAGGAAATATCATAGAGTAATGAAGTGATTACAAGTATTAGTATGCATAATAAGCTTTAATAGACATTTATTGCTATTTATCTGGAAGGGACATGGGTGCTTTTTTACTGCAATATTTTGACACCAAGATTCATTGATCACTAATTTCAAAGGGGAAAGAGGTTAATCCATCAGTTTCTCTACCAAAATGGCACTGATAGAAATTCTTTAGGTGACATTCTGAATGGTCTGAGCTTTCCATCTTTGCAAACAAATGAGTGATATGGCAAGCATAGTGTTCAAAACACATTTAAGCAATTGATTTTCTCTCCTGTTGTAATAAGATCTATAGACATATGAATGAGCAGACCATGAGCCAAGATTAAAAACTGCTTCATAACAGAATATAACACAGCCACATTATCAATAAGGTTACTGTAAAACATCCTATCATCCATTATTTTTCTTTATCTAAAATTTATTATTGTAATAAATATTGTTACTGAACGTGTGTCTTGTCTTATTATTTCTTGAATTTTAGTTCAGGCAAGTTTTAGCATATTTTTATAAAATGATTAGCACTATTTTATTTTAGGACTTACACTGTTTTACATGTCATCAATGGGCTTTCAAGTCAAAAAGACAAGAATAACTGAAATGAGATGCAAAATCTGAATTTTACATAAATTATCTGTTGAACTGTTCATGAAAATGGCTCCCATGACACATACAATAAGTGTATAGTAAGTATAATAAGTGTAATACTCAATAAGACCAGCAAAATATCCTTTTGGAAAGCATCAGAACTTGGCTTCTCCCCACCTTTTCTCCCTTGAAGAAACCTGTACAGTTTTATATGCTGATTACTGTTGTTCTTCACTCCTTCCCCTTCAGGTTGACATACATTCAATTATTTGTTTTACATTTTTGTAGATTTTTGTTTTACATTTACAGATTTATTTTCGTTTGCAGTAATTAATATAAGGGAATAGCTTACTGGCTGCAAAAAAAAAGAAAAAAGAAAAAAACGGTATTGTAAACATGTTTTCCTTGGTCTTGAGCTATGGAAAACATTGCAGGTGTGCTAGAATACAATGAGGCTGCAATTCCACTCATACTCGTCTAAGAGAAAGCCCCATTGAAAACAGAGTACTAACTGGAAGGAACTATAAAGAGGATCTTGCTTTGCAGCATGCATCGTAGTATGCTCACAACTTATATCTGTATAAGGAAGAGAACTCAAAAAATTATCTAAATATTAGTAACATATCCCAATAACCGAAATATCTGTAGTAAAGTACATGAAAATTGTAAGTACTTGATTACATAGCTTGTTTCCATTCTCTTTTCTTTCTTTCCTTTTCTTTCAGCTACAATTTTAAAAACATAATTTATTCTGTGTCCCCATGTTGCTGGAAAGTATCAATACAAGTAAATTACAATGCCCCCCATTTTTTTCTATAAGATTTTCTTGACCTATATTTCCTTCAAATGGTAGTCATCAATCTCTGACTTACTCCTACAAAACAATATCCCTAGAGTTGGCATTTGAGTTCTCTTACATGTACCTTAGTGCTGTACAAAACACAAAGAGAATTATCAGTTTTTAAGAGCCAACGATGTACTAATGAAAGAAGAGTCATCATAAGCAGCAGTGTAATTCATTTGACACTGTATGGAATACTTTCTCATTTCTACTAAGTTTTCTGCTGGAGTAAAAAATTCACTGTAAACCTTAACCCTGAAGAGACAACGTATTTATTTCTATTAATCTCCAAGTCAAACTCAGTTGAAACATCACTTAGTGAGAGAGGAACTTAGAAGAAACAGATACATGATACAAAGTTGATGGAATATTTTAGAATAGGGTCCCAAGAGTAATTCTGCAGCTGCTGAAGAGCATTTTTCAGGAGAAATGAACTGGTTGGGATTTAGTCACCTTTATGGAAGGAGCTGTTATTTGGAAGGTTGGGCTTAGCTTTGTAATTAAGCAGAGGAGAAGGAAAGCAAAAAAGAATGGAAAGAAATATTAG